TTTCCGATTCCCTTCATTCGCGAGTCGGAGACTCGTCGTGACGAAACCGCGCGTGAATCCCTAGACTGATTTAATACTCGCGTGCTTCGGCCTGAAAATGTAAGATTTAGGACGCGAGACTACCGAGCCTAATTGATAACGGCTTCACGTGGAGCGGGGAGGATGGTGAAGAGGTGAAGAGGGAGGGGGAGGGGGGAGGGGTGGTCTCTAATATTAGGAAAATCGCCGTCTCCGCTACAGGTTCGACCTGCAACCTCGACCTGGCACCACGCCGCACGGAAAATAGACGCTTCATTCGGCACGTGGACGGGGCCGTATAGGAACGTAGAACCGATTCTCTCTATTTCGAGGTCTCACTATTTATCTGGCGAATCGCCAGGAGCGCTTTTCGCTTTGCGCACGCGCGCGGCGGTGCTCCACGCGCGGGACTTTCACGGACGGCAAGCGCTTCCGGTCTTCCGAGCGACGGAAAAAGAGAATTACTTTACGTCCGATTTTTCGCTCGTTTTCGCACTCTTGCCTATTCACGTGGGAGCGGAAGACTAATAATCTCGCACGACGGTTTTTAGGCCTCGAGAACCGTATTTACCCGTCCATCCGCGAGAGATCTCGAGTGCACTTTCACTGACGCCCGCGGTGTCGCAAAACACTAGAAAACGCTAGAGACAACTAACCGTTAAGATACATCTTTGTTTAAAAATGTAGAATGCTTTCTTTGGACCTACCTCAACGATGAAAGCGAGTCATTTACGATTATCTTGATTTTTGCAGTTACAAGTGTCCATCTTTAAAGGTATAAAAATAGCAAAAGATAGCTGTACTTTTTTAAAATTCTATATCTTATCTCTTTAAGAGGTCTCTTTTGCACCACGAACACATGTAAAGGATAATAAAGGATATTATATGTTATATGTCTTTTCTGAATTAAAAATTTTATATTCTAAAATTATAAATTATATATCTCTTCTAGAATTAAAAAAAAATCTATATTTTTAATTCTTTATATCTGTTGCTTAATGAAACTTATACAAAATGTCTATTACCTGGGAAAACTTGGAATTCTCAGGGAATTTTTTTTCAGGTTATTTTTTTATATTTATATTATATCGAGAGATTATCGTTTATTGTTAACGATAACAGTGAATCTGTCCATTATAAACATCGGAGCATTAATGTAATATTAATCCTATATTCAATATTGAAAACAATGATTTCATATTAAATGCAATTTTATTTACTAAAAATAAATTTATTTTAATAGTTTATAAAAGTTGAATTATGTATACCGGTTATCCATTATATGATTTTTTGTTTGTAGCTTTTAAAAATAAAATTTGAAAATCTTATGCAATATAAAATATTTATTTTTTAGAGTTTATTTATTTACAGTCTCTTTTAAAATTCAAATTTAATTATTGAAATTCAAGACATTTTATTTCATCTTACGATTTATAAACTTTTATGGAAAATACTACACGAAAATTTTACACGATAAATATATATTTATAAGATATATTTAATAATACGTTATTTTAGCTGGAATTTTTAACAAATTGTTTTGAAAATCAGAGAATTCTAAAAAGGAATTTTTTTTCAGATTTGAATAGATACTCTATTATATGAGTAAATTTTTCAATAAAAATGCAATAGATTTTTTGAAATTTTAAATGTATAAATGATAAAAATATCGTTAATAACAATTCAGAGTAGAGTTGGGAATCTGTTTGTCTCGCTATTATTCGAAGATACATCCGGGACAATTCTCTCTACGAATCTGCAAATTGATAAATGAATTGGATATCGCCGAGGAATTTGTACATTTTATTGGAAACTAATAGTCTTTACCGCGAATACGAGTCCATTGTTCATTCATCGTGTTCGTCCCAAATTTGGCGAACTCGATTATATCACAATGGAAGAGCAACATTCCGCCTCGATACCCATTGGATGGTACCCATTAATTATTCTGTATCGATCCAAGTTCTGAGGCAAACATCCGCCACAGAGAAAGAGAGAGAAAGAGAGATCTCTATTTATATAACAAATATTAATAAAATCGCCTGAAAAGACAGCGAATCCGATATTTATAGTAAATTAAGGAAAAAAATTTTTGCGATGTGGTGTACCAAAAAAAAAAAAATACAAATAATTGATTGTTTTTCGTAAAAAATAGGTAAGCGAAATTTCGGTGATTCGACTCTTTAAAACCTGATTTAATTTCCATACCTGATTCACCTTTTGTTAACTGCATGCAACGGAGGGAGGGGAGGTTGCCGCCTAGACAGCTGGCGTTTGTATGGACGAGTTGTATCTCTCTCTTGACTCTGTGTGCATCGTATGGTTCAACGACCTCTCTACTCCATGCTTTGCTCCGCAGCTTCATGGATTCTGATTACGTCCGCGCACTCGCGAATCCATGCGTAGGACAGATATATGTATATACGTATCGTTATGCACGACGTGTGAATCATGGGGCAACTTCGTAGAGAGATGAATGTCGATTACGCGGATCTCGCTACTGATACGATTATGTCAAATTTCTACCGTTCGCAATAAACAGACGCGATTATTATGCTAATTTAACGAAATAATGAATTGTCTGTCATTATCGTTAACATCCTAGGCAAATAAACAATTAATGGTCTTTATTGTAATATTTATATTTTAAAATTGTTAAAAAAATTTTAACTGCTATGTCACGTAAATAACAATCTCTACTTAAAATTTTAATGTAAAAATATGAATATCGATTGCTTTTAATACAATGGTGTTTGTTTTATCTGTTTCAGGAATGACACCAAGGAAGATGTATTTGTCCACCAAGTAAGCGTTGTATAATATGTTAATTGACAAGTATTCTTAAAATAAACTTCATCATATTTTAATGTTATATGTCATTACAGTCAGCCATCGTTAAAAATAATCCGAGAAAGGCTGTACGTAGTGTGGGAGATGGTGAAGTGGTCGAGTTTGATGTCGTCATCGGTGAAAAGGGTCACGAGGCTGCGAACGTCACCGGTCCAGCCGGTGAAGCAGTAAAAGGCTCACCCTACGCTGCGGATAAACGCCGTGGATATCGTGGAATTCACTTTATATATCCGAGACGCGGTAACGGACGACCCCAAAATCGCAGATCACGCGAAGGCCAAGAGGGCTATGAGCAAGGTGCCCTACCGTTTATTTAAATCTCAATCGTTTATTTTTTTTTTTTCCGAACATTGAGGATAATTTATCCGTTTATTGGATTAAGGTGAGGGAAAAGTTGGCGATGACGGAAATGTTGAAGGCGGCCAGCCACAACAGCAACAACGTCGTTATAGGCTTCGTCGTCACTATGATGGTTATTACCGCGGAGGACGGCGTTCAGGGCCCACTCAAGCTCAACAGCAGGGCGATAATGCTGGCGAAGGTGGAGAACAAGCGGAAGGAACCGGCGGCGAGGGTGGCGCTCCGCCGCGCGGTGGTGGTCGTGGACGCGGTGGTCCATCACGACGTTACTTCCGCCGCAATTTCCGCGGAGGGAGAGGTGGTGGTCCGCCACGACGTCCTCGCAGCCAGGATGGCCAGGTAAGGGTTAGTATCTAACCCTAGCCAAGCTAGCTCTTCCTAATTACATTATAGCGACTAGTAGTAAACAAATATATCGAATTAAACGTATAAATTGCGAATTGGCATGTTTCCTGAATTTTACACGCGTTGTTTCGTCCAGAGTTCTGAGATTGTACATTTTAATCTATGTTTTTTTAAATTGTATTGCTTTTGAAAAGTATCAATCATGAAGAATTTGTGTATAATTTGTATTATGCTTTAAGTCATTCGAATTGCAATTGTAGTGTTAGTTTGAGATATAAGAAACGACTTGATAATGTACAATTAATTCATATTTCAATTAATTCAAAAGAATAATTTAAAATTAATCACTTTATATAATTGTTTCTTAAATTTAATTAATATATGGAAATAATTAAAATAATTATATGAAGAAATAATTTTAATTCTTAGAATATTATAGGAGTTATATTGAATTAAAATTTTTATGTTATTTCTGTGATGTTAAGGCGTTTCTCGAGATACGCAATCTCGGAGCTGTTGATGAAAAACTCTGTACATTCAATCTGCAATCGGTTTAAAACAGTTTTGTTCTGATGTACATTAATTTCTGTTTTGTCAAACATGGTTCATCACAAAGTTCACTGTATTCTCGATTGTTTGCACCTAAATGGTGTACAATGTTCCTGTATTATTTCATTCCGACAATAGTACTGCATTATTCCACAACGGACTTTGCACATTGTAAACAATCGTTTATTTCGATTTTGCATTCTTGCAAATAACAAATCGTGTTTCAAGACTGAACTAGCTGTTTAAAATCTGCACGGTAGTTAATACCATAAAGATGAAGGAAACTTAGTAGTATTAGGCTTATAAAGATAACTGTCTTAGATGCATTTCCCTAGAAATTATATATTCGTATTTTTCGTAATCGTATTTTTAGTAATATTCTCTTCCTTATACTTGTGCATTATCCGCGCACGGAGTATGTGTTCTGTGCTGTTTGCGAATAAATTTTTTTTTATTACACTTTGTAAAACAATAAAGTATTTTATAAGAGCATCCTAACGAATTTTCTACAATCGGCAAGGCACCCTGCATACCGAAATCACGCGTATCGTAAAATTAGGTGACCGATGACGAGGCTGTTGGCGAGAATGCACAATTCGGTAATTCGCGGAGAAATCCACGACCACGTTACAGACGACGATTAGTACGACAACCACGTGCGACATCGAGCCAACAGACGAACACGGTAGAGAACTTGCCATCTGCGGATGCAAAACGCAAATCCCCCAATCCCGCTTCTTCTCCCGTCGCCTCGCTTCGAATACAAGTCACCGATATCCCTCCCGAATCCTGTGATAAATCTGCAAAGGTATTATTGGTTCTATCCTTTCTTACTCAAGGTGGAAGGTAACTCGCATTATCTTTGATATCCTTCACTGACAAGAAGTAACGAACTGACGATTTTACGAATGTATCTTTTACGAATGTATCTTTTATGGTTTAATGAAAGCTACAGTGAACGTATTTTAGTCTCCATTATAAAAAAGCATTTGCATAAAAAAATTAATATAATTTTATTTAAATGTAATTTTGCAATATAAATAAATTTGCAATACTAATTCGTAATATTCGAAATCATTGGTTTTACATTACGTCTGTAAATTGTCAATTTCTTCATATAGATTGCACTAATTAACGTTACTTTTTTTTCTCGTACGGGCATTCTCGATTACACATCTTGCGAGTTATAATCAGAAATTAATACCATATGACGAATGTGTTAATGAGCTTCTGAGAAGGTAAACTGGTAAATTCCGCTTTCCCTTAATTCTAATATCGTGTAATTAGTTTACAATCTCAATCATCAGTTCTCTCTTCGCATATTTATAAGCTTGATTAATTTGCTTTCTGAGAGGCTCGTATATAACTTCGACATAGCGGAGTATCGAGGCAGTAGACATGAGAGTTTGGAATTTATACGAACAAGAGAAAGCTTTTATGTTATGAGACGCGATCCGTCGACAAATACAGAGCGCTTAGCACACACTGTTTGCACGTGTCTCTTTGTACTCTTTTCAGTCGGAGCAGAAGTCGGATGCACCTAAAGATTCGGATGCACCTGCCGCTGCCCCTGCTCCACAGGTAACGTCGCTTTATTTTTTTTCTTTCTCCTCTCCTTTTCTATCTCGCAGAAGCTCGTCTCGGTTGCCGCAGTTTTCACTTCCGCACTTACACTTTCGACATTAGGTGTGGCCGACAAAGTAGATCTTAAGACTCATATTTTTTTTCTTGCTCACTGTTATCTCATTCTTCCTACCTTCGTTTTCTCGTTTTCTAGAAGGAATTGCATTATCTACACCTAGTTCATATGCGATGTCTGAAGAGAGAGACGTAAAGACGATTATAACAAAGATATATTTTAATTACGCGTTGCATAATTGCTATTCTTGCGAATTGCCCACGCAACTTTTGCGCAACGAATAACGTACGTCAATGTGTGTGTTTGCAGGAGAGCCAGCCGGTGCAGAACACCACCACCGAAAGCACCGCCTAACTGAGACAGAGTAACGCGCTATTACCGCAGGACACTCCTTTTAACATGTAACACCAACACCCGTTATACACTGCAGCATCGACAACAGCTATACAACAATTGCAAAAAAATCTAAAAAAAGAAAAAAAATAATAACAAAAAAAGAAATCAACAAACACTACACCACACTCTCTCCATGGAAGCAAATTAAAATTAAGAAATATGTATGAAAAATTGAGAAGTGCGCACAGCTTATGCTTGGACAGTTTTTTTCGGGAAAGTGACAAGATGTTGATCAGATTGACGTCTCGTAACGTCCCTGAAAGAAATCGTCATAAGTGGCCGCGTACTTCTCGCTTCGGGGATTTGGACAGAAGGGTAAAGCAATTACGGAGTACGGAGCGATGAATTCGAGTGCGCGGCAAAAGATGGATATATCTATATATTGTATATTTTTTGTTTTGTTTTTTTTTGTGTATTTCTTGTTTCGTACATTACTTCTGATTTTTCTTCCGGTAAGGCGCATTATCAATCGTTTCATGTACACGATATTTATGTTTATTGCTATATTTCCGCGAGAGCTTTCTTCACTTTTGGCGATTTTTCCATCAAAAAGAGCCGTGAAAATGATGATACGTGGATATATTACTGATAAATGGAGTCCGAATGTTTGTCTCGAAGTCACTCGTTTTTTTTCCGGCTTGTATCTCGAAATTGACGAGCTACCGTATTGCTTTCACTCTTTTAGTAAGAAGATTTGAAATCACCGTGGCCGCATAATTATTCTCGAGTTTTTCAAAATTGCGCTTGGTTGCAAAACGATTGCGTTTGTAAGCATAGAACACAGTTCTGAGATCTAACAAGGGCAAGTGCGACCGTAGTGATTCCACGTTTTTCTTATACATTTATAAGCGATTCGTCTCACAAGCAGAAACAATTATTGTAATAGCATTTATCTTGGCCATATTTTTACAATTGTTAATATTGGCCCCTGGTGGGTCCCCGGCGGTATATTACTAATTAGCGATTATTGTTTTGACTTTACGCATTATTGGTTAGTCAGGGAATTAGGCACGCAAATTCCATGAGGTATTCCGTCATGAGCCTTTCACTACAAATGAAGTACTCTTGGTCCTCGGTTTTCTTTCCAACGATGCAATGCTTGTACATTATCATTTGTGTAATTATAATTTAAAAGATACTTTGGACCAACTCGCGAGTGGAGAGGACGGCTCCTTACTGTGAAACCTCATGGATTTCCGTGCGTGAGTAAATCGTCCGGTCGTTTCTGGAATTGACGTCGGTCGACCGTGCATCAGGCAGGTCGGTTTTTTTCTTTTTAAATATTAAACTACTGACCGCTTGCATACGGCAATCGATTCGATTTGACTTTTCGGAACAAGAGCCGGGCGTATCACATACATCGGCTCGATTGACAATACGAATATCGTAGACTGTCATGAGAGTGCGAAGGAGAGAGCGATCAGAGAGAGAGAGAGAAAATGAACTTTATATAATTTTGCATGAAGCTAATTTTTAAAATTTTAGTTTGTAGTATCGTCGACGGATAATAAAAATATATATGTCTACTTTCTACTAAAAAAAAAAAAAAAGAAAAAACTAATAAGGATTGATGCTTTTTTGTATTTGGCCAAACTTCATTGTTTTCTTTTCCGTCTATATCCAGGCGACACAAGCGTCTGCGAAACAAACATCACGTCACGAAGATCCATCCTATTCTTTCACACATCGTGTCGTTTGGGTGTAGCGTTATCGATGTTACATGGTGTTTATTGTTTCTCCGTCGTCGTATAGTTCTGTGCTCGTCGATCAGGAATTGAACCCAGTGATGAGCGCAAAATGTATTCGCGAATGAAGAACGATTTCAAGTATATGCGTGCGGAATGCACTGGCGCGTGTAAAATGCATAATGCGGAAATGCGTGCTTTCACGAGAGATGTATGAACGTGGATTTTATGCACGCTATCACGACAAATGCATATTCAAAATCATCGTTTGCGAATACAATTTGTTCCAACTTTTCACCACTGGCACGCGGTAGTCTTATCCTCTGTCTGGGTGCCGGCAGGAAGATTCCGCCCAAGTTATTACCGTATGTCACCACGATGATCGTCTTTAATTGTTGTCTCACTGTCCTACCACGTCCCGTTTGTGAAGTAGCGTTTTGCCAAGCCACGAACCTGAGTGTGTCGAGCCTTCGTAAAATTGCATAATATCTTTGTCTTTTGTGTACGAAAATCTGAGAGATCGAGAAGTTCCGGTACCTCGAGACGCGAAACATCCGATTGATCAGGGTAGTGGTTTAAGGAAATAATATAAAGAGAAAATACAAGAGAGAAAGAGAGAGAGAGAGAGAGAGAGTGTGTGTGCGTGAGTGTAGTGCCAAGTGGAGAGAGATAAAACACGCGGTTACGTTACGCGGAGGCGCGTTTATATATTTGCGACAAACATAGGGAAATGAAAGTGAAATAAGCGAGAGGCGATCGAACGCCGATCCGATTTCCGAAGTCACCGGTGATACTCTTTCCTTTTCTTTTTTCCTCATTCGATTCCGTAAGGGAGAATCCAGCGGACACGAGATGCTGATCGATCAACGCGTTCACCGGCGTTTTCCGCTTTTCTATTACAATCCACGTCCGTTGGGACAAAAGCCCAACCTGGTGACTCTTCGCGGGCCGCGTTGTTTAACGTAATCACCCTCCGTTGTCTAACGTAACCGCGCGTTCCCACGAAAAAAAACACGGTAGAGAGAAAGAAATATAAA